AAATAGCACACTCCATATGAGAGTTTTTCTTTTATTCAAATCATGCCTGAGGAACAGTGCATTTATACGGTAGTACCCCATGTACTTAGATGAGGAAGGAGCCCCAGGAATTGGTGAGTGTTCCTCAAAACAGGGTATGGCCTGGGTGATCAGTGGGCCCCAATTGCCAGCCTCCTGAAGCTCATGTCTCAGCAACTCAGACCTCCTCCTTTATCACCTCCAGGGATGGGACCCTGCAGATACAGGAAATCTTGGAATGGCATCTTTTTAAGTAGAAATTTCCTATACTTGAGAAGCATCACCAACCCAATCCAAGTGTCTCTGCCCTGATTTGGTGTCCATACATGCCCCAGACTGCACTGAGCAGTCTCCAGGAAGCATCATTAGACCCCTTCCCTGGCCTGCAGTCTCCTTCTGGCTGGGGATACCATGCAATCCCCAAGAGTCCCTCAAAGGGCCATTCTCCATCCTCCATCCTTGCTAGGCACTCCTAGTCAACTGCAGAGAATGGAAATAGCACCACACAGAGCATCAGGTATGGTCTCCACTTCTGGCTGTGCCCCAAACTCACTGCATGACTCTGGGACAGTAATTTAGTCTCTTCAGATCTCAAGTTCCCAATCTATAAAATGACTAGATTGAGGCAGATGCTAGGAACTAACATATTTTTCAAATGTAGCAGCTTAACTAGGGACCAGGCTCCAAGAAAGTTCTAACTAACCAGGAACAGAGCAAAATGGAGGCTGAAATGTTCCATTTCTTCTCATCCCACTTGGGAAGCTGGGAGAACCATGCCAAACATCTCATTATGGCACCATATTCAAAGTCAAATTCATTACAGGTCTTTTTTTGTTCCTACTCACACAGTGTTGGTTTTATCTCCATCCTTTGCTGCAGCTATTTTCACCAACCCTTCACCAAAAGCCCCAAATGCCACTAACATGTGAATTTTGCACATTTATTTCAATTTCATGGAAACTATCCAATTGGCCAACTTCCCTCAACAGGGCACCACATAAGAGAAAGCAGGAGTCCACAGCACAGGATCTCAAAGGAGGAAGCCACCCATGGACCAGGCAGTCAGAAAGGCTTCCTCAGTTCAGAAAGGTTTTACACAGGCCAAAGGGTACTGAAGGGCTCAGATGGAAAGGGTGAAAAATGAGGGCAGGAAAAAAAAAAGCACAAGCAAAGAGATGCTGGTGGGGAGAGAGGATTGCCCATCTGAAGAGCAGCCCAGTGAGACAATGAGGATGCCAGGCAGAGAGGCAGGCAATGGGGGGTAGGGGTGTGAATGAAAGGCTTTGCAGGCCGGTTTCTGCCAGCCAGCACCCACTCTCTACTTTTCCTGTCTATATACTCCTGATTTGCAATTTCACCCCTCCCCATTCTCAGTCTCTGCCTTTAGAGTGCCGCCTCCACCCCAGCTCCCCAGGGGAAGGAGCAATCTAGGCCAATCAGTGAATTCTAGCCCCTACACATGGTGACTGGTTGAGAGCTAAACAGGCTTCACACTGAGACTGGGATCAATCAGAAATGACCCTCAGGACTTGTGCAGGAACTACCAAGAAATTAGTCTCCCTGTTTCTGGTGTAGTGGAAACATAAACCTGCTGACTATATGGGAGAGCTATAAGCTAACCCTGAAGAAGTGGGGCTGAAGACAGAGGAACAGTCCCAATAGCATCCTAAATGCAGTCATGTCCAAAACTAGTATTGCACAGTACTTTTAATCACAGAAGTCCATAAGGAGTGTGAGAGTGTGTGTGTGTGTGTGTGTGTGTGTGTGTGTGTGTGTTGATTTTGTTTACTGTCACCCAAAACCAAAATAACTATATTGGGAATTTTAGGTTATAGAGAAGAAATAGCACTAGACTAGGGCATTAGAGAGACCTGGCCAGATCCCAGCATTACCATATAGTAGCTGTGTGAATTTGTAAGTAAACCACTTAGGTTCCACAAACTTCTGTCTCCTCATCTATAAAATGGGCAAAATAATTCATGAGTTGACACATGTAGAAGTGGAAGCTCCTTGAATACTGGTGGAATCTGTGGAGTTTGTACTTGATGCAGGAGATGCTGTGGTATTCTAAGTAGAGAATTCACTGGAGGGAAAATTATTCCAGGCCCTGTACAGGCAGGATGAGTCCAATGATCCCGGCCACTCAGGGAACCTACTGAGTGCACTATGCTATCCAGGCTGAGAAGAGGTAACATACTGCATGGACATTGCGTCAGATGTTCAGAGATGAGAGCTGAGCATCTTTCACACTGTATACTGTGCTCACCAGGGGGTGCGGAACAAGAAGTCACCTATGCCGCCCTGGCCTTTCCCCCTAACAAAATAGAAAGATGACTCTTACCCTCTTCCTTCGGGAATGGGACAAGAATTAACTATGAGCTCTACAAACTACTTTGTACTCCCTGTGGAAAAGCTGCTATATAGCTACAAGGGGGTGATTAATTTTATCTCTCTAAATGTCTCAGTATCATTTGCCAAAATGATGATTTATTATTTAGACAACCTTTATATTTCCAAGGGGCTTTAAAAATCATTTATAGTGGAAAATGAAATAAAACTGATTAGGGCCCTGAAAAACAGGAATGGTGAAAAAATGCACAAGGAACTGGGGATTATTTATTCACAACCAGAGAAGGCAAATGAAGGACACAGCAAAATCCATCGATTATATGCAAAGCAGTACTGCTAAGGAGAGGCCCGTATCCCCATATGATGATGGGAAAGAGAAACGGGAAGAGACAGCAATGCATCTGGACTGATGTAGGCTAGATATCAAGCAGATACCAGGAAGAACTTTCTAATTGTATACTGGCTCGTAGCTCAGTATCTAAAAAACATTTTAAATTAACTTTTATAGATGATAGCTGAGGTAAAATAAAATGTAGAAAGACAATATGGTTTTGGTCAAAGAAACACATCTTCAAGAAATAATCAAAGATGAGAAAGCTAGTAGAAAACTGGGAGGGGGAAATTTAATCCTTCTTTCAGGAAGAAAAGGATCATGAAAGGATGCCATGCCAAACTACGGTGGATGAAGGAGACTGGAGTATTCTAATATGCAAACAAAGCATAGAGAGCTCCCAGAGGTCATGGGTTGAGTAAGGGCAAGCCCCACCAAAACTACTCCCTTTCCTTCTTGAAAATTTTCCTAGGATGTGAGATCATGGTGTATCTAGATTATAGCAAAGCACTTGCTGAAATGGACCATATGGAGAACTGCAGGCCAGGGCAAACTGGTGAATTCCTAGCTGGCAGAAAAATGGTACCCAAAGAGGGTCCAACAGAAGCAGCATCCCCTGTGGGATATCACGGGCTCTGTCCTCTTTGGCATTTTTATCAGGCTTGGATGAAACCCTGCAAGGGACACTCATTCAGTCTCAACTGCTGAGATGCTTGGCTAAAACCAACCAGATGAAATGAACAGTTCTGCATACTTAGGTTCAAAACCATCCCATCAGAGCAGCAATAGAGCTGGCCTGACTGACATTTATGTTGCTAAACTGAAGACGAACTGCCAAGCTTCTAGAATGGACAGACAGATGATCCCAACATCTCCAGCCTGCCTTCTTTATAGCAGGATTCACCAAGAGGCAGGTCTGCACTGGCCATCCCCTTTCCATTAGAGAGGTCTTCAGTCACATGCCAGGACTGTGACCACTGATCCTAGACCTGTCTGGATATTATCTTACAAAGCAAATTCAAGGGACTACTTGTGTTCCTGTTATCTATGGAGTATAACAAATCACCCCCGAAATTTAGTGGCATGAGACAGTAATGTTTTATTAGCTCTTATAGTCCTGCAGGTTGGCTGTGCCCAGCTGAGTAGTTCTCACCCAGGGTGACTCAGGAGGTTGCAGTCAGATGTTGGTAGGGGCTGCAGTCATCCAAAGCCTCTACTACCGCTTGATGCCAAAGTGGTTTACTCACATGGCTGGCAGTTGGTGCTGGCTGTCAGCTGGATGCTCACCTTGGGCTGTCAACTGAAGTTGCCTCTCCATGCACCTTACAACACATCAACTAGGTTCTCAGAGTGAGCATTCTAACAGGTAGAGTCCCTAGAGATCCAGGTAAAAGCTCTGAGGCTGCTTCTGACCTAGCTTTGGAAGTCCCAGACCATCACCTCTGCCACATTTTACTGGTCAAGCAAGTCATCAAGTCCAATCCATATTTAAGGGTAGTAAAGTTAGACTCCAGGTTGACAAGTTCCTACCGTCAAAGAGCTTGTTGGATGGGAGATACTGCTGTAGCATCTTTGAAAAATAGAACGGACCACTGCTTTTGACAACAGGGAGCAATGTGATGAGAAGTATTCCAATTAGTAAAAGTATTGTCATCAGTTAGTGATGTGCTGCTGAGCATCACACCTGAGGAACCCAGACCTAGGCCCTTCAAGCCCAGTGTGCACCAACTGGCACTGTGTCCAGTATAGTCAACATTGAGTTTCTGCCTTCCAGTCTCCTTCCAGGAACCCATATGCCTCCCAGTACTTGACCCCAACTGGCTCCGTCTCATTGTTATCTCCATCCTGACATGCCATATCAATGGGAATTAACAGCCTCATCATGCTGGGCACACAAGGAACCGCCCACTACTTAGTCAATTGTAAGAGCTAGGATTATTTAAAAAAAAAAAAAAAAAAAAGCCTTAGCCCTTTTGTAAACATTCAGAAAAAACTCAGAGAATTCGTATTTGTTTTTGATTATTCTGAGTTTGCAAGTTGAAGCATTCATGGTTCATAAAACCCAAGTATTTGTTCCAAATGTCAGTGTTTTTCCCTTTGTGCAGCAGCAGATGCTGGGCAGGGGGAGGGCTGATGGAAGGCCTTCCGCATCTGTGCTAACAGATCATGTCTTACAGCCTCCTCACTTTGGCTCCCCATTTCCCTGCTTTCTTCTCACTTTGCTGTTGCAGGCATCTGTGACATCATAGCCTGTTGCCATGGAAACTGATGCTATCACAGACTTCTGACTTTAGGCAATACAATTTCTTTGTATTGACAATTTCCTGAGAGGACATCAGCATGGATCTTCACATATATGAAGGAAAGTGGAAAACCTACCAGCTTCCTGAATATTTACTGAGATCTGTATGACATTTACCTCATGGGAAGAGTAAAAGAAAACTGGCTGGACCTAGAAGAGACTCTGGTGTTACCCTTCCAAGCTGGGCCTTGGTTTTCCTATCTGTAAAATGGAAATGATAATCCTTAGCCTTTGGAATTGTTGCATGAGAGTTTCCTATTAAGGAGCCTGGGGCAAAGCAGATGCTCACCAGGCAGGCCTCCCTTCCCTAAGTCCCCCAGACCTTAAACTTTAAGAGTTTGTGTGACCTGCTTTAGCATGAACCCTCAAAGACATTAGGGTGTGGGGATGAGAGCAAGTGAGGGGACCACAATGACATGGACTCCCCTCCCCTCATGGTCGCCTCCCTCTTTCTCCTGTCCTGTCTTCACTCTCTGCTGCTCTGAGATCTGCCAGCTAGTTCTGCCTAGAACAGTTTTCTCTCTGAACTGACTTCCTCCAATAAGAAGGCAGGTGAGTCCTTACTCCAGTTCACAACTTCTCTTGAGTGATTTAATGGCTTTTAAGCAAAAGCAACTATCTGAGAGGCCTCAGGTACAAGGGAAATCCAGTGGAGCTTTTAAACCAGGATCTGGGTGCTTGGAAGGTACAGGGAATGAGTAGGCTGGGTGGTCCTGTGTTGGGCACTTCTGCTTCCCTTCTCACCAGATCTGAAGCAAGGGTGCAGGCCTTGCCAGTCACCCACACCTGATCCCTGTGTGAACTCCCTGGGTTCATTTATGCCAAGCCAAAGCTACAATCTGCTACCCCAACTCCCACAAGCAATCCCAGCACTTCTGAGAAAGATACAAATCTCTTCCAAGGTGACCAGAAAAAAAATTTAAATTTAACTGCAAAAGAATGTTACTTTAAAATAGAAGAGTCTTTGATGTGACTTACATCTGTCAAATCTTTGCAAAATGAGGTAAAAGACAACACTTTGGTGCAGGATGGTACATACAGCAAGCCTCTTTAGGGAGGTCTTGGAGTGGTCTTTGCTCACCAATAGAACCCAACTATATTCTACAACGTTAAGTAATATTTTAAATAAGAATTGTGGGCATTCCTCAAAAGCGTTTAGGCAACTTCTTGACTTTAGGAATTCAGTTCTTTTGCAATGGGAATGAAAAATAAATGTATGTCGGTTACTGCCCCCATCACCTGCATACCACGTCAGCCTACACCAGCTCTGCTCACTTGTGGCCAAATTGGAGTGAAGGGTGGTTGACCACAGGAGGTGAGAGAGGCCAGGAGCCCAGGGAGCCCAGGCTTGGTAGTGGTATGTAGAGTATGACTGTGTCTGGACACCAGCTACTCTGCTGAGTCACCGCTCAGACACAGCAACACAGGGCACAGCCGGTATAGCAGCACAGCAGGTAGGGCCCCAAGAGCCATAGAGCTGCAGGTCTGTGCCCTTGCCTCGGATCTGGTGAGAAGATCTGCCTGCAGAGGGCAGGCAGAGGGAAGGGGATGTCTTTGCCAGCTGAAGCTCTCCATTAGAGCTAGAACACATCCCCATCTCCAGATATGAAGCAGGGCTATCTCCCACCTCCTATACTCATCTCAGGCAGCACAAGTCATTATGGGGAGCTCCCTTCTTCCTCCTCCATTTCAACATTTCTTTCACTTTCCATTTAACCAATATTCTCTTGGATGAAACTGTCTAGGAAGGGCCACTCCGCTGTTAACCCACTTGGTGTGTGGCCTCAAGCTCTGACCTCCCCAATCTCTTTTCCCCCCCACAGCTGGACGAAATCCAGGTTGGAAAAAAGGGAGATTGAGAAGGGCTGCATCCCAAAGTCATCACAACAGCACAGGCTGCCCCAGCCTCCCAGTGTCATCATTCCCAAACACATTTCTGTTTGTATCAGATCTTTTCATACCCAAGAATGGCAGAGAAAGACAGGAGTCCGCCTCGAATGTCAGAGGCAGCTTCCGCTCTTCATTGCCTATGGTTTGGGAGTGTTTTCTTCTGAATTTTTCTCCTTTATTATACAGTGTAGCCTTTGAGTATTTTAGGTTTCTGGATTTCATGTTTTACCTTGTCCATATAAGCTTATCCTTTTTTCATCATTAATTCTGTCCCCCTGCCCAGCCATCTTTTATCTTTATCCTAACTTTTTCACTTTATCGGCTAATGTCTTTAAGCAATTAATTTCCGGGGTTTTTTTTTTTTTTTACTATTTTATTATCATTTTTATTTTTACAGATCCTAATTCTAACATTTCTCCTTAACTTTAAAAATTCTGTGATGGTTAATTGTGTCAACATGACTGGAACGTGGATGCTCAGGTAACTGTCACACATTACTCTGTGTGCCTCCAGAGGGTGTTTTTTGGGTGAGACTAACATTTCAATGAATAGACTGAATGAAGCTGATTGTTTCCCCTTAAAGTGAGTGGGTCACATCCAATCAGTTGAAGGCCTGAATAGAAGAAAAGGGCTGACCTTCCCCAGAAGAAGGGAGAATTCTTCCTGCCTGAATGCCTTTGGACTGGGATGTCAGCCTTTTTCCTACCTTTGGACTCAAACTGAAACATTGGCTCTCCCTGGGTCTTCAGCCTGCCTTCATTCAGACAGGACTACACCATTAGCACTCATAATTCTCAGGCCTTCAGACGTGGACTGAAACTAATCCATCAGCTCTCTTGGGTCTCCAGCTTGCCAGTTCTCCCTGCAGATCCTGGGACTCACCTGCCTCCATAAGTATGTGAGCCAATTCTTTATAATGAATCTTCAATCAATAATTAAGTATATCCTATTGGTTCTGTTTCTCTGGAAAATTCTAATACAAATTCTTTCTCCTTTTTAAAGCTTATCTGGTTTTTGTTTCTCTTGACCAGTAGTGAGAAGAGCATGTGCAAACATTCCGGGGCAGGAGGGAGCATGGAGAGTTCCAAGAAAACAGAAGGCAGCCTGGGGCCGAGTGGTGGGAGCATGCACTGCAGGCAACCCAGGCAAACGCAGATAAATAAAAAATAAAAGAAAAAGCCATCAAGAACTTGCTGTGAAAGAATCACTTGGGCTGTAATTATTCTGGTTGTTTGTCTCTTCATGGAATAATAGGAATAGTTTTGTGCCTGTGATTAGAGGGCCCAGCCTCTAGGGGCTAAAAAATTACCCTGAACTGTCTCTTCCCCCCAGTTCTTCTCCTCATAAAGGCAGCCAGTTTCTGGTCCAGAGGGGCATTGTGTAAACACTGGAAGGGAGGGAGGAAAGAAAGGAGGGAGGAAGGAATTTTCTGAGCTATCTGGTAGAGAGGCCTTCCCTAGGGCCAGAGGAGCATTTACCTCCATGCCTCGACTATGGAGAGGTTGTGGTGTTGCTTCAGGGATACTGCTAAGTGCTCTCTAAACCTGCTTTCCCCAGACATGGAGGCTCACTTCATTTCTCAGCTCGTGTCCAGGTGGGACCATGAGAGTAGTCTTTGCCCATGGAGGAGGAAGTGATGTATCTCCCAGGCTGAGGCAGGTAGGAAGGTAAGAGCAAGTGCCTTTTCCTCCGTCAGCATCCATCAACAGGGTCTACCAGCAAGGATCCCTGAGAGACAGGTGGGGTAGGTAAGGGAGGGGAAAGAGGCAGAGCCCACCACTGGCCTCACCAGATTGTGATATGAGTGAAAAATAAACTTTTATCTTGTGGGCTAAAAAATTTGGAACCAGTTGTTACAGCAATTAGCTGACACTGACTAAACCAGAAACTGGCATGACAGGTGTCCATGTGTCCCCTGAGCTGGGCCCACCCCAGCAAGGCAGCAGAGCAGGAAGTACAGAAGGGCATCTGTAGGCAAGGCCGGGCTAGAAAAGGAGGCAACAGAGGGCAGACAAAGGGAGAGAAGCTTTGGCTGTGGGAACACAAGATCCAAGGGCAACTACCTTTCCTGCAAAAAGCAGCTGCAGGGGCAGTGCCTGAGCAGTCTGGGAGGCACAGGGATGTGCAGGGTGGGGACTCAGCTGCTCCAAGCAGAACCCCACACTGCTGCATTGAGAAGGGAAAGAAGAGGCACAAAGAAGGGAGGAACCATTTATTGAGTGTCTACTACATACCAAGCATTGTCTGTACCAGGAAATTGATGTATGTTATCTCAATTACTCATTCCCAAGCCCGTATAACAGGGTATGATTCCTTCCCATTTTTTAGATAAGGAGCTACTTCTAAGGTCTATACCTACAGACTGGCCAAGTGAAGATAGGAACCTGGTGTGGGAGATCATCACATGGGCACCCTTCTGCCTCCCTCATGGGAAATGGGAATTCACCAGCAGGGACCCCATACTTCCTGCTGGCCCTGTGAAAGGCACCTATGCACAAATGGGAGGCTGCCTGCCCTCAAGGCATAGGGAAAGGGAGGACACACATCAAACAGAAGCTCCAACTGGTTATGGAAGTGATGAGACAGAGATGCATTTATGCCTACCTAACGTCCATTTCCCTGGGCTCAGAAGTTCACCTCTGCATACAGCAAAAATCCCACCTGTCAAAGCATTATCCTGTTTGATAACCCACATTTAGACCCCTTTCTATCCTGCTCAAATGGCCCCTTCACTCATAAACTGGCTACTAAGCTTCCCATTGTAGTCTGAAGATTAAATCAGCTCCGACCTCCCACCTCCACCTCCTGTTTCCAGCCAGGCTGCCCTCAGCCTCTGTTAATCTCCCTTGCTCACCCTGAAACATAGTCCTGAAAGGGGAGGGGCCACATGTTTGGAAGGCTCTCAATAGACCCACAGGGAAAAGTCATTGTTCGAAAGAAATACTTGCATACGCATGTTTACAGCAGCACAATTCAAAATTGCAATACTCGTGGAACTAACCCAAATGCCCATCAACAAGTGGATAAAGAAACTGTGGTATATACAAATGATGGAATACTACTCAGCTATAAAACAGCATGGATTAATGGCATTTGCTGTGACCTGGATGAGATGAAAGACTATTATTCTAAGCAAAGTAACTCAGGAATGGAAACTTGCATGTGGGAGCTAAGCTATGAGGATGCAAAGGCATAATAATGATACAATGGACTTTGGAGACTTAGCGGGGAAGAGAGGGAAGAGTTGGAGCAGGGCAATGGATAAAAGACTACAATTATGGTCCAGGTCCAGTGTATACTGCTCACATGATGGGTGAACCAAAACCTCACAAATCAGCACTAAAGAACTTACTCATGTAACCATATACCACCTGCACCCCATTACTTATGGAAAACTAAAATAAACAGACACTATGACTGTCCCCAGCAGCATGGACATACCATAAGGTCGCACATCCCAAGCTAAGGTGGCTGCCTGCCTGTCAGCCTCTTAAACAGGGTTCCAAAGACTTTCAATCTCATTATCCAAGAGCTGGCTTTAGGTTTCTCTTCTTGTTGAGTGAAGGGCCAAAGGAAAGTGGGTAGAGAAAGTGAATTCCCCAACCACCACCTTACAGGCACCTAGGAGTGTGAGATGGTCACCTAAAGGGCGTATGCTGGTACCTGGACATGCCTTCCCCTTTCACATCTTTCCTCTCCACATAGTTCTTAGAAAATCAGGGAAATGGAGAACTCCACAAGCTGGGCCAGGAATGAGGTGGGGAAAAAACAAGTTTAAGAAGCCACTGGTTTAAAGAGTGGGTAGGAGCATAGGCACAGGACCTCGAGAGGTGTCTGTGAACCTGGCTGCATGTGGCAGGCAGCTCCCCCTACCAACAGTCATTGCACCTTCCCACTCTGAGCAGGGGCCTGGGGTATTGGATCTGATTTCCCTCTATGGATGACCATTCCACCAGGCTTGGGCCAAGAGCTGGTCCTATCCACCGGAATCAATCATATCCACCATTGGAAGAACAGCTTGTGTGTCCAGAGTACATCCCAGTTTACAAAGCATTTTTCATACATGGCTCCAATTCCTACTCAACCACCTCTTACTCAAGAGCTCAAACGGGAAGAGGTTGGACCTCATCATCCCCAGTGGACACGGGATAAAAATGAGACTTAGAGAGATTAGGTGACTTTCCAAGGTTACACAGCTGGTAAATGTGAGCCAGTTCTCTGACTCCCAATACCAGCCTCTTGCAGGGATTCATACCTTCAGTTCTAAGGCCATGGTGGGGCCAGACACCACAGAGCTCCATGTGCACTCCTCTGCCAGGACAGGGAAATGTGCCACCCACTTCCAGCCCTCCATGTGGCCTCAGCTTGGCCACGGTGGCTAGAGGCCTGGGAACCATGTGCTGGGAGAGCTATGGCACCTGAACCTTTAAAGGGTAAAAAAGCTGTGCCTGCTGAAACTGCAGACAATACTGACACTGTTCTACTGAGGAGAGCCAATGTCACTGAGTACGCTGTCCAGTGCCTCCCAATTCCTGGGGCCACAGAGTGGGGAATGGGCTGACCGAGGCTTTCAAACTTCAATTTTATACTTTATTTTTATCTATAGAAACCGGCAGCCCATGGTCCATGGTATACAGAATTTGATTAAAAAAAATACTACATTCAAATATTGTCTTGATTTTGGTGCCCCCTTAACTTTGCTCCAAATAAGTACCTCCTTCACCTTACCCTAGTCCCTGTTCCTCCCCGTCTCCACAAATCGGAATCCTGGTGAAATGGGAGGAGGTCCTGGAGAACGTGAAGAAGGCAACATTGGTCCACAGGCCCCTTCCTTGCTCTGCTGGATCTGCTGGGGATTCATCTAGACCTGCTCACTCTGAGGCTGAGTGCCCCGGGAGGCCCTGCTGCCTAACCAGTGGGCCTCCTGTGACTCCTGGCCATGGTGTGTCATGTCAGGTTACAGAACATCACCCCAGCACACATTCCTGAATATCAGCTTTTCCAAGCCTCTCGGAACATTGGCCCTCCAAGTCTATGGGAGTAGGCAAGGGAGAACTACCCACCGGCAATAGATGGGCCACACAAGGGATTGGCAAGCAAAGGAAAGATTTAGGAATCAGTTTTCCCAGAGGAGGGGGCCTGGGAATATGTTTCAAATGAAAAGAGAGATACAGAAGTACTGACAATACTAATAACTACCATGGGCTTTAAACACCTTATCTCACCTATTTCATAATGATCATGTCAGGTGAGTGCCACTGTCCCCACTTACGGGACAAACATATGGAGGCCACAACTCGGAGGTTATGCAGTTTGTTCAACGTCAGAGGTGGAATTCAAACCCAGACCTGTCTGAATCCAACACTCAACTGCTTCACACACACACACACACACACACACACACACACACACACACACAAATCCAGCTGGGCACAGTGGCTCATGCCTGTAATCCCCACACTTTGGGAGGTGAGTTGGGTGGAGCATTTGAAGTCAGGAGTTCAAAACCAGCCTGGCCAACATGGTGAAACCCCATCTTTACTAAAAATACAAAAAAAAATAGCAGGTATGGTGGTGTGCGCCTGTAATCCCAGCTACTGGGGAGGCTAACACAGGAGAATCACTTGAATCTGGGAGGTGGAGGTTGCAGTGAGCCGAGATCATGCCACTGCTCTCCAGCCTGGATGACAAAGTGAGACTCTGTCTCCAAAAAAAAAAAAAATCCCATTCTATCTGTTCAGGAAACCAGCCATTCAGAAACACCTCAGAGGTAGAAGAAGGACAAGGTGTAAAGGACATGGCATGTGGCCCCAGTACTTAAGTTACTTAATCTTTCTGTGTCTCAATTTCCATGCTCACCTCGCAAAACAATGTGTACTGATAAATAAGTATGGCACAATTAATAACAACTGTTGAAACTAGGGGTAGGGGTGGGGTATGTGTGTTCACTGCAGTATACTTTTGACTCTTCTGTACTTTTGGAAATATTCATAATAAATTGAGAAAAAAACAAAATGTCCCCAGGTCAAAACTAATATATGACCCCATCAAAGAAAGTCCCTGGCATCAAAATAGCTGAATAAAAATAGCTACATTAAACAGCTGCACCAACCCCCTCATGGCATTGTGGGAATATAAATTGGTTCAGCCTTTTTAGAGGGCAACTTGCAACATCCATCAAACTTTGAAACAAGGCACACTGTT